CCAGCACAAGACAAGGATGCACTCTCTTACCACTCCTATTCAACAGAGTATTGGAAATTTTGGCCAGGGCAGTCAGGCAAGAGAAAGAAATAAAGCATATTCAAATAGGGAGAGAGGAAGTCAAATTGTCTCTGTTTGCAGATGACATGATTGTATATTTAGAAAACCCCATTGTCTCAGCCCCAAATCCCCTTAAGCTGATAAACAACTTCAGCAGTCTCAGGATTCGAAATCAATGTGCAAAAAACACAAGCATTCCTATACAACAATAATGGACAAACAGAGAGCCAAATCATGAGTGAATTCCCATTCACAAGTGCTACAAAGAGAATAAAATACCAAGGAATACAACTTATAGGGGATGTGAAGGACCTCTTCAAGGAGAAGTACAAAACCACTGCTCAAGGAAATAAGAGAGTACATAAACAAAAATATTCCATGCAAATGGATAGGGAGAATCAATATAATGAAAATGGCCATACTGCCAAAAGTAATTTATAGATTCAATGCTATTTACGTCAAGCTACCATTGATTTTCTTCACAGAATTAGAAAAAAAACTACTTTAAATCTTATATGGAACCAAAAAAGACCCCATGAGACAATTCTATACAAAAATAAAGCTGGAGGCATCACCTTACCTGACTTTAAACTATACTACAAGGCTACAGTAACCAAAACAGCATGGTACTGGTACCAAAGCAAATATTTAGACCAATGGAACATAACAGAGGCCTCAGAAATAGTGCCACACATTTACAACCATCTGATCTTTGACAAACCTGTGAAAACAAGCAATGAGGAAAGGATTCCCTATTTAATAAATGGTGTTGGGAAAACTGGCTAGCCATATGCAGAAAACTGAAACTGGACCCCTTCCTTATACATTATACAAAAATTAACTCAAGATGAATTAAAGACTTAAATTTAAGACCTAAAACCATAAAATCCCTAGAGGAAAACCTAGGCAATACTATTCAGGGCATTGGCATGGGCAAAGACTTCACAAAGCAGTGGTAACAAAAGCCAAAGTTGACAAATGGGATCTAATTACATTAAAGAGCTTCTGCACACCAAAAGAAACTATCATCAGAGTGAACAGACAACCTACAGAATGGGAGAAAATGTTTGCAATCTATCCATTTGATGAAGGGCTAATATCCAGAATCTACAAGGGACTTAAACAAACTTATAAGAAAAAACAAACAACCCCATCAAAAAGTGGGCAAAGTATATGGACAAACACTTTTTGAAAGAAGACATTTATGCAGCTAATAAATGTGAAAAAAAGCTCATCATCACTTGTCATTAGAGAAATGGAAATCAAAACCACAATGAGATACCATCTCACACCAGTTAGAATGGCAATCATTAAAAAGTCAGGAAACAACAGATGCTTTAGAGGATGTGGAGAAATAGGAATGCTTTTGCATTGTTGATGGGAGTCTATATTAGTTCAACCATTGTGGAAGACAGTGTTGCGATTCTTCAAGGATCTATAAATAGAAACACCGTTTGACCCAGCAATCCTGTTACTGCGTATATACTCAAAGGATTATAAAACATTCTAGTATAAAAACATATGCACACGCATGTTTATTGTGGCACTGTTCACAATGACAAAGACTTGGAACCAACCCAGATGCCCATTAAAGATAGACTGGATAAAGAAAATGGCACATATACACCATGGAATCCTATATAGCCCTAAAAATGGATGAGTTTATGTCCTTTGCTGGGACATGGATGAAGCTGTAAACTATCATTCTCAGCAAAGTAATGCAGGATCAGAAAACCAAACACTCCATGTTCTCACTCATAAGTGGGAATTGAACAATGAGAACACATGGACACAGGGAGGGAACATTACACACTGGGGCCTGTCGGTGGGTGAGGGTTCGGGGAGGGATAGCATTAGGAGAAATACCTAATGTAGATAATGGGTTGATGGGTGCAGCAAACCACCATGGCACACATATACCTATGTAACAAACCTGCACATTCTGCACATGTATCCCAGAACTTAAAGTATAATCATTAATCAATGATAAATATGATATCGAGTTTTGGTGAGAGAAACTGTGTATATAATGCATTTGACACTTATTCTTCTCACTGAGACCTTCTTAAGTTACCCTATTAAGAAGTGCAACTCTTCACAAAGGGTTTTATTTTTCTGCTTAACTTTTCTCCATAGCAATTTCACAAATAATACAGATTTTATTGACTTATCTCTCCTTTTGGCAATCTTGGAGATTAGAATTTTTGTCTATTTTGTTCACTGCTGTAACCCTACACAATGCCTTTTATTTAGTAGGAACTCAATAAAACTTGTTCACTGGATGAATATAGAACAGTTTTTAAATTATACACATTTAAAAGATTTCCCTTTCCAAGAATGGATCCTAGTGAAGTAAGATCATATAGAGTTTTATCTGCAATGATGTTTATTGAAGAAGTACTCAGAAATTTTAGGAAAATGAAACATAAATATCACAGGTTAGCTCAAGTAACTTATGATATATCCCTACAATGAATATTCTTCAGCCATAGTAGCTCACTATTTCCGGACCTGAATATATGACTGCTGAGTTTAAAATGGTTACAAAAGATTATGATCACCTTTTAATTTTATAAATACACATTTGTTACAAAATCATGTTATGGAGAAAAGAATAAAAAGTAAACATCCACATTTATATAAAAATGCTAAAATTATGCACAAACCAAAATTATTTCTATGTGGTAAGGTTATAGTTGATTTTATTTCTTCCTTTGTCTCTGTTGATATTTAAATATTTTTTCTTCAATAATTTTGTATTACTTTACCAGTAGTTCTTCACAAAGAGATATAAATTAAAAAGACTCATTTTTTAGTATGAGTAGCCTCTGGTGTGAGGTGTTACTGGACCTTGGTATTGTTAGTAACTTTCCTATATCATGTTTTCATTGACACAGCTCAGGTTGTGTAGACGGTCATAGCAATTCCGGTCAGGAATTACAATCCAAACCATTGTAATATAGGATCCACATTTCATTAAAAATCTGTACAAAACAGTTTACATCTGAACTGCGAATGATTATTAGTATGGGCAATATTGTTAATGTGTTAATAATAACTGTGAGTCTGAATACATTAACCTATATAACCTGTTGTACTTAAGAGCAAGTTGTATGGAATGTACTGAGCCATCTTGAGACCAAAAGCATTGCCTAGATTCCTTTTTGGACTCTTACGTTGTCTTTTGTGTGGCCTACAAATTGACATTCAGACAATGGAGAGCTCATAAATGCTAGAGGGAGAAAAGATAACTTTAACCATAATTTATCAGTAATATGTAGAGATAATTCCTAAGAGGAAATAAGATCTGAGGAAATTACAGGAAATATTAAATCTGTGATTCTGTTTACGGTAGAAATGCCGACCAACAAATTCCAGCTGTTTCTCTGTGGGTTACAGAAGTGTCAGGCCTGTTTATAGTTACTGAATTGTATACTGCAGGCTGGATCTTGCAGAGCCTTGTTGGTTTGGTTTGGATTTATTCAGCTTTGTCCAAAGGGACATTTTCTATAGGTAATGCATGTATAGAATGCACCCCTGTACCAAGTTTTTCTTTCTAAAAACTTCTCTAGTGTCTTTCCCTTCCCTGCCAACAGCTTGCCTCCTCACAAATGTTAGTGTAGTTTTCTTTAACACTTATATAGCACTTACTTGCACCACGCACTGTTCTGAACACTTTCAAAGTGTTAATTCATTTAATATCTCATAATAAGCTTATGAGGCAGGCACTACTTTTTAAACCAACAAAAAAGCAAAACTTTGAAGGACAATAATAATTTGTGTGATTAAAATAGCTTTGATATGAAAAAGGTAATTAAAAGATAAGCTATAGTCTAGGAGAAGAAATTTGAAATTCATATAACTGATTAAGGATTTATATCTAGACTAGTCCACAATTCCTATAAGTCCTTAAGAAGGCAAACAGTTTCACTGAAAAAAAAAAAAAAGACAACCCTCAACATCTGATGACCCTTAGGCTTATGAAAAGATGCTTAATTTCTCCAGTTGTGGGTGGGAACTTGAAATAGCCATGAGATATACCATTCTCCCTTTATCAGACAATAACAAAAGTTGGTGAGAATATGGAGCATGGTGGAAGTAGTGAATGGCACCAATTACTTTAAAGTGCAATTGGGCAAAATTTAATACAGCTGAAAATGTGTCTAGTTTCTGGCCAAGAGGTTCCACTTCTTTCTCTGTCTACCCTTAGGAAATCACTAATAAGTAAGTGTATTTACGGTTACTATGCACTGTGCTAAGCAATTTACAACTAGTATATTATCATAATTTCCTTAGAACACTTGAGAAAATTGAAACTCAGAGAAGTTAAGCAACTTTCCCATGGTCACAAAACTAGATTAAGATGGAATGTCAGGCTTATCTTCTCAATGAATTTTATTTACTGATTTATTGATTATCTTTCATATAAGGCAGCAGTGTGTGGTGAGATGAGCTATGGAACTAGAATGTGGGCCTGAATGTGAATACCTTTGTCCTTCAAGTTTTCATATTCCAAAGATAAAGCATTTGTCTTTTCTCGTAGCATTCTGGAAAGAATCAGTTTACAGAATCGTTGCCAATGTTAGAAGACATTTTGGAACCATAGGGTTCATCAGCGTTTAGTTGGAAGGAAGACAGAAATGGGTAGAGCCTAGGCAACCCTCCCAGTGCTCCCAAGTGGCCTTAGCTCAATTGCCAGTGTCCTAAGGGTGGTCCTATATCTTAGAGTTTGTTTGCATTGTTGTTAGTATCTGGTGAGTCTAGCTACTGAATGAACGTAGAAAAATACCAATACAAGGTCTCCCCCAATTAAGAGATTTGAGCCTTCAGATCCAGACATTGCCCTATCTACCTCTCTAAGCCTCAGTTTCCTCAATTATGAAGAACATAAAACTCATGTCTTAGGAAGACTAGAAATTGTATTTCTTTTTTTTTTTGAGATGGAGTTTCGCTCTTGTTACCCAGGCTGGAGTGCAATGGCGCGATCTCGGCTCACTGCAACCTCCGCCTCCTAGGTAAGGCAATTCTCCTGCCTCAGCCTCCCGAGTAGTTGGGATTACAGGCACGCGCCACCATGCCCAGCTAATTTCTGCATTTTTAGTAGAGACGGAGTTTCACCATGTTGACCAGGATGGTCTCGATCTGTTGACCTTGTGATCCACCCGCCTCGGCCTCCTAAAGTGCTGGGATTACAGGCTTGAGCCACTGCACCCAGCCTAGAAATAGTATATCTTGTGGTGCCTGTTACATAAAAGGCTTCAGTTAATGCAGCACTAAGATACTATATTTTAAATACCTACTGCCTTTTTAAGCCCTCTGTGGGACTGGTCTTCAGCAGCACATCACTCACAGAGCTTTGTGTGGACCACTCTCATGAACTGCACCCCCAGAAGTCATCCAGTAGAAAGTGGTGATTAACAAATGAGCATTGTGCCCAAGATAGAGTTTCTGCTTGGTGCATAATGTTTATGTGACTCCAAAAAGTTACTTACATTTTCAAAACATTGATTTGCTTATCTTTAAAATGAACATAATGATTGTATTAATACTTACCCCACAGGATGTTGGAAGAATTAGATGAAATAATCTGTACTAGTAAAATATGCTTAGCACAGAGCCTTGAACTTACTAAATGCTTAATAAATGGTTCATTTGAAAAAATGTTAATCTTCATTAGTTGAGATTTTTATGAAGATCCTGTTGACAATTGGGCTTGTGACTCTAACCCAAATCTATTTAAAGCTCATGTGTATTGTAGCATACTTCCTCTGTTTATTTGAAGACTTCCAGTAACCTGACTGCCTGTGAGTTTCCTATTACTAGTAATATTTTTAATATACATTAGACAATGACTTTGAAGGAATGTAGAAAACAATGGAATTTTATATTTTTAACTTTTTAAAAACATTTCTCTATCTGTCTATATATCTAGATATATACATTTTTTTTTTTTTTTTTTTTTTTTTTTTTTTTTTTTTTAGAGAGAACATCTTGCTCTTTCACCCAGGCTAGAATGCAGTGGCATTATGATGGCTCATTGCAGCCTCAACCTCCCAGGCTCAAGTGATGTTCTCACCTCAGCCTCTCAAGTAGCTGGACCTACAGGCACTCACCACCATGCCTAGTTAATTTTTGTATTTTTTGTAGGGAATGATTTTGCCAGGCTAGCCTCAAACTCCTAAGCTCAAGGGATCCTCCTACTTTGGCCTCCCACAGGCATGAGCCACTGTGCCTGGTTTCTTGTATACTTAATTTGTGGAGGGTATTTTTTTTTTAATTTTGAAGGAATGTTTAGTTTTGTTAAATTTGTCAAATGCTTTTTCTGCATCAACTGAAATGATTATTCTATTAATATGATGTATCAGGTTTATTGACATATATAGGTTGAACCATCTTTGTATCCCTGGGATAATCATTTTAATGTGCTGTTGAACTCCATTTGCTAATATTTTGTTGGGGACTTCTGCATCTGTGGTTGTCAGGGATATTGGCCTGTAATGTTCTTTTATTGTTATGTTTTTGTCTGGTTTTGGTATCGGAGTAATGCTGGCCTTGTAAAATAAGTTTGTAAGTATTCTTTCCTCTTCAGTTTTTGAAAGAGCTTGAGAATTATTGGAGTTAGTTCTTTAACTGTATCGTAGAATTCAGCTATGAAACCATCAGGTTCTGGGCTTTTCTTTGATAGTAGACTTTTTATTACTGATATTGTTTCATTATAATTCAATTGTGGTAGGTTGAGTGTACCTGGGAATGTATTTGTTTCTCCTCGGTTATCCAATATGCTGGCATATCATTGTTCATAATCATCCCTCATGCTTATTGGTATTTTGTGATATTAGTTGTAATTAAAAAAAATTTTTTTTTCAATTTGTTTATTTGGGTGTTTGTCTTTATAACAGTTGGTCCTCCCAATGATTTGTTGTTTGTTTACCTTTTCAAAACCCAATTCTTGGTTTTGTTGCTATTTTCTTTATTGTTTTTATAGTTCATTTATTTCTGATCTGATTTTAAATCTTTCATTGATTTATAATTTTGGGTTTTTTTTTTAGTTCCATGAGGTACATTATTAGATTGTTTATTTTTAATCTTTTTACTTTTTGATGTAAACATGTATTGCTGTAAACTTCCCTCTTAGAACTACTTTTGCTGTATTTCATAGGTTTTGGTATGTTGTGTATCCATTTATATTCATGTCAAGAAAGGGTGAGGTTCCATGGCGGGGAAAGACGCCAGGGAAGTCACGCCAACTTCCTGGGGCGTGGGGTTTTTATGGCTAGAAGGAATGAGCAACAGCTGGGTGCTCTGATTAATTCCAGGGGAGTGGGATTAAGACGGGGCAGGCCGCTATTGGTTAGTGGGTTGTTGGGCAGGTTTTCTGGTGGGAGAGCCGGCCAGGAGCCTTGCATCAGCTGGAGCCTTCCAGGGGAGCCATGTGGCAGAGCTAGGTGCTGAGTGCAGAGCCTGGTGCCCGGTGCAGAGGTGGGTGTGTCCAATCTCTCTGTGAGGCAACCAGCCTTACAACCTCGTTCCTTCCTTCCTCCCTCCCTCCCTCCCTTGTTCCCTCCCTCCCTTCTTCCCTCCCTCTCTCTCTCCTCCCTCCTTCTTTCTTTTCTTTTCTTTTCTTTCTTTCTTTCTTTCTTTCTTCTTTCTTTCTTTCTTTCTTTCTTTCTTTCTTTCTTTCTTTCTTTCCTTTCTTTCTTCTTTCTTTCGTTTTCTTCTTTTTCTTTCTTTCTTTTCTTTCTTTTTCTTTTTCTTTCTTTCTCTATTTATTTATTTATTTTTAGTAGAGAAGGGGTTTCACCATGTTGGCCAGGCTGGTCTCAAACTCCTGAATTCATGTGATCTACTTGCCTTGGCCTCCAAAAGATCTGAGATTACAGGTGAGAGCCACCATGCCTGGCTCAATCTTAAATTTTTTAAGACTTGTTTTGTAACCTAATATGTAATTTGTCCTAGAAAATATTTTACATGTAGTAGAGAAGAATGAGTTGGATGGAATGTTCTGCATATGTCTATGTCCATTTTGCCTAGATTATTATTAAGTTTAGTGTTTCCTTGATTTTTTGTCTAGATGATATGTTCATTTTTAAAAATGGCATATTAAAGTCCTTTACTACTATTGTAGGGCCGGTAATCTCTCCTTTTAGAGCTCTTCATATTTGCTTTATATATTTAGGTGTTCCAATTTGGGTACATATGTATTTACAATTGTTATGTCCTCTTGCTGAATTAACTCCATTATTATTATATAATGTCCTTCTCTATTATTTTTACAATTTTTGCATGAAAGCCTGTTTTTTTCTGAGTATAGGTACTCTTGTAAGTCCAAGGATGTCCTTAAAGATGAGAGAGTCTCCTGTAGTCAGCATACAACAAGAAAAGAAAATCAACTGGCTTTTCTTTTTGTTTCTGTTTTTTAATCCATTAAACTACTCTGCTCTTTTTTGGGGGTTGGGGGGAAGAATTTGATCCAACAAATTCAGTGTACTTATAGATAGGTAGGGAGTTAATACTACCATTTCATTCATTATTTTATAGTTGTTTCGTAGATACTTTTTCTTTTCTTTCTCTCTTGCTGTCTTCCTTTGTGGTCAATTGTTTTTTTTTTTTCTAGTAGTATGTTTTAATTTCTTGTTTTTAATTTTTTGTGTATGTTTCTTTGTGAATACCATGAAATTTATAAAAACTTAGGTTTTTGTAATAGTCATAGCACATAATAGTTATAGAACATTATTATAAGTTAATAACAAATTGTGCTTGAAACAGAAAAAAAACTCTACACTTTCACTTCACTCCCTCTTCTCCACTTGTTGAACTTTTATGTCACAACATTCATCACATTACATTGTATATCCTTAAACAAATTATTATAGTTATTATTGTTTTTACTAGTTTTATCTTTTAACCTTCATTCTAAAGATATAAGTAATTTACACACCATCATTACCATATGAGTGTATTCTGAATTTGATTATGTACTTTTATCAGTGAGTTTTACACTTTCAAATTTTTCATATTACTTATGCATGTCCTATTCTTTCAGCTCAAAGAATGCTCTTTAGCATTTCTGAAGAGGCAGGATGGATTTCCTCACCTTTTATGTGTCTGGAAAAGTCTTTATTTCTTCTTTATTTCTGAAGGATAACATGCTGGGTACAGTATTCTTAGTTGACAGTTATTTTCCTTCAGTGTGTTAAATATATCATCTCACTCTTTCCTGACCTATAGGTGTTTCTGTTAAGATGTCTTCCACCAAATGTATTGAAACTTGCTTATATGTTAATTGCTTCTTTTTTCTTGTTGCCTTCAGTATCTCTCTGTGGTTTTGATATTTGACAGTTAGATTATAATATATATTTCATTAGCCTTATTTTGATGAAATCTGTTTGGAGATCTTTGATTTTTCTGTACAAAAATATTTATAACTTTCCCCAGGTTTGGGGGGTTTTCTGCTCTTATTTCTTTAAGTATGGTTGTACCCCTTTACCTTTCTCCACTCTCTTGAACACCAGTAATGGCTCTTTTAATGTGGTCTCATATATCCATCAAGCATTCTTCATTTCTTTTTTTTTTTGTTTTTCTTCACTGCTTATATAGTTTTAAATAATCTGACTTTGAATTCACAGATGTTTATTCTTCTTGGTCAATTCTGCTTCCAGTGTTCTCTGTTGCAGTTTTTTTGTGGGGGGTTCACTTCATTTTTAGTTTCAGGATTTTGGGTTTTTAAAAATTATCTCAATTTCTTTGATATTTGCTTCTCTGTATTTTCTTTAAGTTCACTGAGCTTCCTTACAACTGCTATTTTGGGACAGGTGCAGTGGCTCACGCCTGTAATTCCAGCACTTTGGGAGGCTGAGGCAGGCAATTGCAAGGTCAAGAGATCGAGACCATCCTGGCCAACATGGTGAAACCTGTCTCTACTAAAAATGCAATTATTAGCTGGGCATGGTGGTGTGCACCTGTAGTCCCAGCTACTCAGGAGGCTAAGGAAGGAGAATCGCTTAAACTCAGGAGG